TCTGTTGGAATAGAATGCGTAAATTAACACTCTTAGGAGACCTGCTTAGAAGCAAAGCAGAATGAGGATCACAAACTCTATTAACTCACATGTCTCAAGCCTCTAATGAAAACTTCCTCAGGGGCTGGCGAAGGAGTAAGACAGTTCCGGTGTGTAGAAACTTTGTACAGTTCAAAGGCTCCATTTTATAAGGTTGAACAGCAGAGGCCTCAGTTGATTTTATAACTGAGATTTATGTCTCTAACAAAATAAGATACATAGCAAAAGAATGACCACTCACCCTTTCTGGAGAGGAAATGATAAGTTCTCTAAAGATACTGTTTACTTAGCTGAGTTATCTATTTTTTTCTGTAAACTCTCTACACCACCCAGGTTGGAATTCAGAATCTGCTGTTCTCATCAAATCAATTTCCCACAGAATGAAGAATGGGGTAACTACTATGCTTAACATTCATCGTTATCTGTTAAGAACCCAACTCAACAGGAGTCACTGAGATTAAGAGGTTCTATGCAGGGAAGGTAGAGAGAATGTCGGGGGCGGGGGAGATCGACACACTGATTATTTTCTAATAAAACTGCTCATTCTGTCAGAAAGCGGAGGGAATTAAATACAAATAGGTTTGTTTAGATGCAGTTCCACTATTATTCTGTGGGTTGCATTAACCCTCTTCTGACATCCATTATTAAGTAAATGGTGACGTTTTTACTAATAGAAAACAGTTGAGCTGAAGTTATCCATACCTACAGGATTGTTCCATATTTAATTGTGCTACTCAAAGCTTGAGAAAATTATATGCTATTAAATATATTCACAGGTTTCACAAACTAGGAAGTCTATCCAGAAAAATCACTACTGTCAGGAAGTATAAAGCTCAAAATTAAAACAGAAAATAACAATAATAGCCAGTTCACTGCATACCTACTATGTGACAGGGACTTGTATGTAGTTTATCTCTAATTCTTCCCAACAATTCTGCAAATTAGCGTAAATGTTCTTGTGTTATAGATGAAATATGGAAACTTATTGAAGTTATCCAAGGTCAAAAAAGTGTAAAGGCAGGTGGTACAGCTCACTGGTAGAACGAATGCTTAGCATGTGCAAGCCCCTGGGTTCAATCCCCAGAGTGCATGTGTGCGCACACAGACACGCACACACACAGAACACACACACACATACAGTAGAAAAACAATTTGAACTTGAATCTCACCCCAAACCCTGTGAACCTCGCACTACTGTGCTCTCTCAATACTACATATAGTAGGTAGCTGTCAAGTGGAAATCCAAAGACCCCAGATTTCATAAATAAAATTCCAAACCCATAATTAAGGGACATAAATTTGTCTCAAATGGATCTGTGTGCCTGCTTCTTCTAATCAACTTCTAATCAGCTTCTTTGATTGAATTCGAATTTAATAGCCTCCTTTACCCTAAAATGAAAATAGAACTGGCTTTACTTCCTTTGCATTGAGAGACATCTGCTGGGGTCCAGGGCTCTTCAGACACTAGAGTTGTGAAGGTGTCTAGGTCTCCCTGCCTGTGGTTGATGCTGTAAGAGGTGCATGTGTGAGCTACCAGCAAGTTTTTGCTAACCAATCACACAGGCAGGCACCAGAGGCTGCATTTTGGGTTTTTTTTTCATGTTGTAAGTAAAGAATGAAAGGTGTTGCTTTGGAGGCCAGGTCCACAGTGTGAACTGGGCCTTCTCCAAGGCTCAGTTTCCTTGTATACAGAACGAGGACGGAGATAACTGTCTTACAGAGCTGCTGCTCTAACTCTGGCGTGATATCCAAGAAAGTATACGATCCCCTTCCAGACCCCTCTACAATGCTATCATTCCAGCACCATAGGACCCTACTTCTCTGAATGATTTGCTTTTGCAACAGACATATCAAATTCTTTCCACATCTCCATGACCCTATTTGGTTTCCTATCCAGAACTGCCCAGCACTGTCTTGCCTATGGACATCTGTCCACATGGAAACCTCCCAGGCACCCGCAGTCTGAATTCTGAGCTCCTTCTTCTTCATTCCCGTAGCACTTGCCCGTATTTCCAGTATCCTGTTGAATTATTTTACTTGAATTATTAGTCATTATTGTGACCAATGTCTTTTTTTTTCAGTTCTGGAAATCGAACACAGGGCCTTTGCTTGCTAGGCAAGCACTCTAAAACTGAGTTATATTCCCAGCCCTGGACTAGGTATTATTAATCTTCTGTGTTTCCTTCACAGTGCTCAAAACAGTGCCTATTCCCAGTGAGTAAAGAAATCTATTCTCATTTAGCAGGGGAAGGAGTAGGAGGAGGGATCACTCTGAAATTAGCTCAGTTATCAAAACAACATATATAGAAAGCAATTATAAACAGAGCATTTTCCAGGGAGGATATGATTCTCCATCACTTAATAAAATCTCTATCAGACTCCAGTAGAGAAGTAAGTTGGAGGGAAGATAAGCCATGGTCTCTAGATGTTTCGACTGTCCACTCCTCTCCTGAACAGTACACACATATTCATGAATATTTAGTTAGCACCAAATATACACAATTTTTTGGCTGTAATGAGGATTGAATCCAGGGCCTCGTGTATATTAGATTTCTTTTTATTTTTTTGGTACCGGGGATTGAACTTGGGTCCTTGCACTTGCGCAGCAGGGGGCAAAAGCACTGAGCTAAATCCCTGGCCCTTGGCCTCCTATATATTAGGAAAGTACTCTATCAATGAGCTACATCCCAAGTCCTCTTTATTTATCTTGTTTTGTTTTTAGATAAGATTGTGCAAAATTTTCTAGGTGGGCCTCAAACTTGGAATGTGTCTGCCTCAACTTTCGGGTTCACTGGGATCACAGGTGTGTACCACCATAACGGGTTTATGCAAATGTTCAATTAACTCCCATCATGCATACACCTATTTACTAAATATGTATATAAACTACAGAATTACTGTAATACATATTATAAAATATATAAACATATGGAAAATATAATTTTAAAATGAAAGTTTTAATATCTTCTTTTTGCACAGTAAGAAATTATCTTTTGCAAGAAAAGCTTAATCTCAGCTGAGGAGTATATTTTCTAGTAGACAAAGGAAATCACATTATCCTTCCCTAGACTGTTCCCTGATGTGGACTAGCTTCCCTCTCTCTCCAGGTTCTCTTACAAGACCACCAACATTCTTTAAACATTAGTGAAACAAAGCAGGAGGAGGGTTTAGAGCTCCGGTTTCTCCATCTGGAAATGTCACAATTCAATCCTGAAGGTTTGCTGTAAAGTTGTAAGCATGACAGTGTGAAACTTGACAGATTATTCTTGAATTCTTAGTTTGTTTTCCCTGTGACCTGAGTCTCATTAAATTTATTTTATTTTTCTCCCAAACTCCCAGGGTGTGTGGTCATATAAATCAAATGGAGAAAAACACTGTCGGAACAGTATTATGGAGTTACTGCTTTTACATTGTTTTCATTAAATAAAAATCTTCAACATCTAGATCTAATATTATAATTGTATCTACATCCTGTTAGTATTACTTAAAATTCTTAGTATTATAATTTTGACCTATTTCTTTTCTTTTTTCTTTTTTTTGATTTTTTTGAGACAGGGTTTCGCTATATAGCCCAGGGTGGCCTTGAACTAGCAGTGATCCTCCTGCCTCAGCCTCTCAAGTGCTGGGATTACAGGTGTGTGCCACCAAATCCAGCTCTTGACCTGCTTCTTAATGTCAATAAATACAAAAACACAATTGGTTTTGAAAATTGTGCAAATGGCCTCTATGTTAAAACCATTTAGCCAGGAATGTAGTTCAGTGGCACAGCTTCTGCCTGGCAAGCTTGAGGCCTTGAATTCGATTCCCGGTACAAAAAAAATCATTTAATTGTGTGTCTGTGTGATTGTGTATATGTGCAGGCACACACACATATGCAAGAAAAAGATTGAGCAGATATTCTATTAACAAATGTTAACAAGGATTATCTTGGGTGATAACACTGAAGTTAAGCTTTATCTAGCTTTTTGGACATATTTTGGGCTGGGCACCATAAAGAGGCAGATAATGGATGTGGAGAAACTTGCAAAATAATGAAATCATGGCAGAGCTGAGGTGGGACTGAAAGGAAGATCCAAATTGAGAATGCAGGTCAGTCTGGATAAGATTAAGATTCTGGTAAAAGCCATACAGTTCCAACATGATAATCCCTGTAAGGAAGGTGTGGCAGAGAATGCCTTGTCTACAACATAAAGCCTGCCTAAAAAGGCCAGGAATAAAAAGGATCATTTTTAATAAAAAAAAATAATGTATTTCAAGAAGGAAGTTTTATGGACTGGGGGTCTTAATGATTAAATTAAAGAAAACACATCACACAGATTTAGCTGTAGGACCTTTAAGAATACACAGATAATGCAGTCAGTCTCCCTTTGCACTGTGGTAAGAATGGCCCAGGATTAAAAGGCTGAGGCTCAGTGAGGTCTAAAAACACCCCTAACATTGTATATATGTTTTTTCTCATCTATGTGCACATTTGCATTTTTATGTCAGTATGAGTTTTTTCATAGCTTTTATCAAAGTCTCAAGTAGGCCAGTGACCTAAAAAGGTAAAAAATTAATGTAATAGAAAAAGCATGAGCTTTGGAGCTCAGAGAGAAATGAGTTCACATCTGTAGTTTTCCAGCTGTGAGACTCTGAATGAGGTGAAGAATTACTATATACTATTATGTATTTTTAAATAGTGTGTAAGTACCTAAAGCAGTGTCTAGACAGATACTGGAGAAGGAGAGCAGCAAAGCCTGAAACATACTTCCTGGCCATGTCCCTCTCATTCTAGGATCCATGTTGAAAGCTTGGGAGATGCCCTCCATTCCTATCTATGGCCTTGACTTACGCATACACGTGTGCGCATGGGTGCCTGTGCATATGGGTGTGCATGGTGTGCGTGTTGGGGGATATTCCTGATGTCCTGCCTGAGAGAAAACATCTCGTTGGCTTGCAATGACAAATGGTAGAGGACTCACCACAGCCATTTCAAACACCAAGTCTTCCACTTTGGATCTGTGCGCTCCTTGGGAGCAGAGCCTACCTCTCATTTCTGCGACAAGTACCAGGCTTTCTGGCAAGCAGTAGCATCTGGTCTATGGTGTGACAGCTGGCTCAGTCCACAAGCCCACAGTCCACAACTCACTCAGTTCATAAGCCACAGTCCACAAGTGAAGGCCCACCAAAGCAGGAGCTGCATGCCCTTTAAATAAAAACAAAAATAGAAATTAAAAAGGTACATATGCTAGCCACAGAAAATTCTGATTCAAACATGGGCCATAAAAACATCATAGTGACTATGCTTTTGAAATAAAATACTGGCATGTATGGAATAGCTGTTAAAATGTACCTTTCAATCTGATAAATTGTGACTCCCAAGGCTGCCGTCTGGGGTCCATGTGCACCAGGCCTTTGCGTCCTACTTCATTAATAGCCACATGAGCCTGCACATGGGCTGTGGTGGCCTCGGGATTCTCCCTGGTGTCTGTGAGATTCTGAGGAGCCTCACAGTTTTGTCTTCCGTCTCCTCAACCTCTGTATCTGGATGACTCTGCCTCTGGCTCCTGAGGCTGCTCCAGCTTCCACTCCCCAGCTCATGACCCGTCATAGCCTCAGTCCCTACCTCTCACTAACAAGCTCTGTGAGTAGTTGCCTTTCCCTAAATTCTTGGGAATTTAAGGCTTATATCAGAATAGATGTCTCTACCCCAAAGAGCTCGGCCTCTCTGTGGTCTTCAGGGAAATTCTCCTAGCCCCTCTCTGCTGGGCATCTGCCTTCTCTTTCTTCTCGCCTACCTCTCTTCTGCCATTCCAAGGCTCCTAAACCCTTGTCTCTCTCACCCGCTGGAGAAGACTAAAATTCTCTGCTAATGTGTTATATGAAATGCCTTTGTTATCTCTATCACAATTTCTTCCTTGCAGAGGGCTCAGAGAAACCAGTTTGTTTTTCTCAACAAAACAGTTTTCCATGTCCTCCCCAGTGGCTCTCCTGTCCTGTTTATACATTTGAAATAGCAATTCTTGTTTTTAAAATTTTAAATAACTACTTTATTTCCTTCCCATTAAATGAAAAATACACTTAAGGACTAAAATATACTCATACATATCCAAAATTTTCCTTTTAAAAGACTTGGTTCTAAATTGTCATAGTCTTTTTCTAGGTAGTTTTACTTGTGGGAAATAATCTAAAGATAAGCAGTCAAATGAAAGCTATGTTCAGGAAGCTCATCATTGTATGGTTAATATTAACAGTGAAAATTAGAAAATAATCTAAAAGTCTGATAGTGAGAAAATGATTAAGTAAATGATCATATAGCTACTCAGTAGAGTATTTTATCGGCATTAAAAAGGCAGCTAGTAAGACACAGCAACAACAAAAATAATTATAAGAAGGTGAACTTTAAAAACAAATGTCAGGGGTCTGGGGATTTAGCTCAGTGGTTCCGCTGCCTGCCTCGAAAGCACAAGGTCCCGAGTTCGATCTCCGGTACCAAAAAAAACCCAAAAACCAAACCTTGGGCTGGGGATTTAGCTCAGTGGCTCCACCACCTGCCTCGCAAGCGCAAGGACCTGAGTTCGATCCCCAGTACCAAAAAAAACAAAAACGAAAACAAATGTCAACTTGTGAAGAAGGTGGCAGCAAACTATGTTTGCAAATACGTGTATAGAAAACAAAAAAAGGAGTGTACCAAAGTGCAAAGCATCCTACGTTGAGGTAATAGAACATGGCTCATTCTGTGTGTCTGTATTTCTTTCTAATAGAATTATATTCATTTTAATAAGGATAAACTTACAAATTAAATTAATTAAAATAAATACATTTAAACATATTGGATAATCCTGAGAAGTAGGAAACTTTAAACCAAACAATGGAGATAAATGAAGTTATGTATAACTTGAGCATCTCATATAAACATCAGATATCTAAATTACATGCTTAAGTTCACCTTTTACTAACTTCACTCCAACCCCATTTTACTGGTCAGCTTGATTCTCTGGAAAGCAGTCAAAAAACAGGTAAAGTTCAAAGTCAAAGGGTTCGACTAAGCAAAATGAATGTCAAAGGCCACATACTTTCCTCCCGGCCTCTCACTGGGGAGGAGGCAGCCAGACTCATTCTTGCCATGATTGTAACAAGCTAGAAATTTTAAGCCACAGGACCTGAGGAGCTGGAAATTGAAAAGTGGATGCGATTGGGAAAAGTGACCTTTGCTAGCCTAACAGTAAAGTCCAGGAGTAGAGAAAACCACCCCAAAGTGAACTAAACATTTTGAAAAAGATTTAATATTGGGCCCTGAGCATAACTGTATTCCAGCATTTTCCATGCTCACTTGTTCTAATGTCACTGGATTCCTTTTTACATGTATTTATTTATTTTATTTTCCATTTAGTTTACTGATACATTTTAGGTATACAATACAGTTACGTTCATCATTGGGATCTTATACCTTTACTTGATGTATCCTGGTTCTTATTTTTTCCCCTTCCCCTGCCCTCTCCTCACCCCCTCCACCCTTCCCTATTTACAAAGTCTTCGTTTCCATGTTTTTTCTTTTCTCATATTTTTTCTTTTCCCTTCCCCTTCCCCTCCCACTTCCCCTATTCCTTTAGACATTTTCTGCCTATTTTACAATATCAATTATACATTTTGATTCTTTTTTACACTTTTAGTTTTTCGCACCAGAGAAATTATTTGATATTTACACATGTGTCCTATTTATTTCACTTAAGAGTATGGTCTCAATTTGCATCCACTTAGCTATAAATGTCTCTAGTTTCTCATTCTTAATGGCTGAGTAGTACTCCATTTTATAAAAAAAAAAAAACCCACATCTTCTTTATCCAGTCTCCAGTTGATGGGCAATTGGGCTGTTTCCAAGTTTTAGCTATTATAAACTGTGCCGCTATGAACATGGGGGTGCATATATCACTGTGGTATGATTCTTTTAATTCTTTTGGGAAGATACCCAGTAGAGGAATAGCTGAGTCAAACGAGACTTCCAATCCTAGTTGTTTGAGGTATCTCCATATTGATTTCCAGAGTGGTTGCTCCAGTCTGCACTCCCACCAACAATGGAGAAGGGTTCCTTTCCATTTTCTTATATCCTCTTTGATCTCTTTTTTCAGAGTGCTATAGTTTTCAAAGTAGAGGTCTTTTGCTTCCTTTGTTAGATTGATTCCTAAATATTTTATTTTTTTGCATACTATTGTGAAAGGGATTGTTTCCCTAATTTCTCTTTCAGTGAGTCTGTTATTTGTGTACGAGAAGGTTAGTGATTTTTGAATGTTGACCTTGTATCCAGCTACTGTACTGAATCTGTCAATTAAGTCAAGAAGTCTTTTGGCCTAGTTTTTTGGGTCTTCTATGTAGAGTATCATATCATCAGCAAATAATGACAGTTCAACTTCTTCCTTTCCTATCTTTATTCCTTTTTCTTGTTTAATTGCTGTGGCTAATGTTTCCAAAACTATATTGAACAGGAGTGGTGATAGTGGGCATCCTTGTCTTGTTCCTGATTTTAGCTTGAAAGTTTTTAGTTTTTGACCATTTAGTATGAAGCTGGCTGTTGGTTTTTCATAGATAACCTTTATCAAGTTGAGATAAAGACCATCTATTCCAATTTTCTGCAGGGTTTTTATCATGAATGGGTGTTGAATTTTATCAAATGCTTTTTCTGTACCTATTGAGATGATCATATGGTTTCTGTCCTTGACTCTATTAATATAGTGTATTACATTTATTGATTTAAGTATGTTGAACCATCCTTGTATACCTGGGATAAATCCGACTTGGTCAGGGTATATGATCTTCTTGATGACCCTCTGTATTCTGAATGCCAGTATCTTATTGAGGATTTTTGCATCTATGTTCATTAGGAAGATTGGCTTGTAGTTCTCTTTTTGGGTTGGGTCTTTCCCTGGTTTTGGAATCAAAGTAATACTTGCTTCCAGGAATGAATTTGGAGGTATTGCTTCCCTTTCAATTTCATTGATAAGTTAAAAGAGTAGTGGTGATAGTTCTTCTCTAAATGTTTTGTGGAATTCACCAGTGAAGCCATCAGGACCTGGGCTTTTCTTTGTTGGTAAATTTTTAATTATGTTTTCAATTTCACTGATTGTAACTGGGGTGTTTAGAATTTTTATATCTTCTTCGTTCAACTTTGATAATTCATATGTATCTAGAAATCTGTCTATTTCTTCTGTGTTTTTCATTTTATTAGAGTACAGTTTCTTGAAGTAGGTACTGATGATTCTCTGGATTTCTGCTGGATCTGTTGTAACTTCACCTTTTTCGTTCCTAATTGCATGTATTTGAGCCTTTTCTTTCCTTTTTTTGATAAGGTTGCCTAGGGGCTTATCAACTTTATTTATTCTTTCGAAAAACCAGCTCTTCAATTTGTTGATTTTTTTGTATCGTTCTCTTAGTCTTCATTGCATTGATTTCTGATCTGATCTTTATAATTTCCTCCCTTGTATAAGCTTGGGGTTTGTCATGCTCTTCTTTTCCTAGGAGCTTGAGGTTCGGCTTTAGGTTTTTTATTTGAGCTCTCTCTGTTTTCCTAATGTAGGCATTCACTGCTATGAATTTCCCTCGTAAAACTGCTTTGTGTTCCATAGATTCCTGTATGTTGTACTGGCATTATCATTTATTTGTTAAAACTGTCTAATTTCTTCTTTAATTTCCTCTGTGACCCATTGGTTGTTCAGGAGAGTATTATACAATTACAATTTCCACGTGTTTGTGAATTTCTTGAGGTTTCTTATGCTATTGATCTCCAGTTGAATGGCACTGTGGTCTGATAATATACGCAGGATAACTTCAATTCCTTTGCATGTAATTAAACATGTTCTATGAGCTAGTATGTGGTCTATTTTGGAGAATTACCCATGTTCAGCCAAAAAGAATATATATTCTGATTTTGTGGGGTGGAACACTCTGTAGATGTCTACTAAGTCCATTTGTTCAAAAGCTTGGTTCAGTTCTAGTATTTCGTTGTTTATTTTTTGTCTAGATGATCTGTCTATTTGTGACATTTGGGTAGTGAGGACCCCCCCACTACAATTGTATTAGTGTTTATTTGGTTCTTCATGTCCCCTAATGTCTGTTTTGTATAGTTGGGGGCATTAGTGTTTAGTGCGTATATATTTATGATCGTCATCTCTTCCTCTTGGATTGTTCCTTTTACAAGGATGCAGTGACCTT